GTTGGCAACTAAGTAATTGCCGATTTCAGATATAGATGTCTCTCACTCCCATTTTTATGATATCCGTAAATGTTATATTATAAAATTATTATTATTATTATTATGTTATTGTTTATTATCCGTGAACGTTAGCAACTGGACAAATTGAATGCAGCGGTCAAGGAAAAGCGAGCAGAATTGGTCAATCGTAAAGGTGTCATTTTCCAGCAGGACAATGCTAGGCCGCACACGTCTTTGTCCACTCGGCAAAAATTGATGGATATTGGTTGGGAATTGATGCTACACCCACCATATAGCGCTGATCTCGCGCCATCGGATTGCCACTTATTTCGATCCCTGGACAACTCCCTTCGTGGTAAAACTTTTAATCATGATGACGCTGTAAAATCTCACTTAACTCAGTTTTTGGCCGAAAAGTATCAGACTGTCTACGAGCGTGGAATTTTCAAGTTGTCAGAGAGGTGGCAAAAGGTCATCGAACAAAATGGAAGATACATTACAGATTAAACTTCGTTCCAAGTAAAAAGAAATTTGTTATTGCATTGAACAAATCGGCAATTACTTAGTTGCGAACCCAATATGTTCTAGGTCCGAGAGGTCACAATTAGAGAACAAACGTGGAACGACTCGTTCTTTCTCGGTAATCTTATTGACTTCACCGACTGGTTCGCTCGTATGATGACCAGTCAATTAAACTTGATCAGCGGAAATTCCGAGGACGAACAATCAGCATAGCTCCTGATATCCCTGCAGGACCAATCGCGTGCTGCTACACGTTTGTGAGACCGGCATCGGTTTTACGATCGCTCGATGCGAGACGTTTCATCGAAATTAAGATTCACAGGCAGAAACTCGTCGCTAGGGGGATGGTCGCGCCTATTTCTCCCCTTTTCTGCTTATTTTATGCGTTTATATGTTCGATATTTTATGACCGACGGCAAGATAATCGCGAATGACGCGTTTCTGCTATCCGCGCATGAATTTCTGATCCTGCTGAAAGTGGTTTCTCGCTCTTCGATCTTTTGCATACTAATGAAACGCGACATTGTATTCCAGGTGCTTTCTTTTTTCGTTTTCCATCTCGTTCATGCGGCTAACGGCTCGCGTCGGCTCCGCGAGCCTTGACGACCGTTCTACGGTGTATCACCGTTTAATATCCGAGTTTCATTAGATTTTAATTACTTAGCTCGGTCGTCTCGAAATATTGGAAACGATTTTTTTGCGGGAACGGGATAATAAATTCACTTTATTTTAAACTGTATATTTCTGATCACGAGTCCTCTTCCTTTCCGTTGCCAACAACATTCGTATCTTTTGTTCACTTAGAGACACTATATTCCGCCCGTTCGTCGTACTTCTCGCCGATCTCGTAAGCATTTGCAACGCGATTACTTCATTTCCTACAAATACTGAATTTTACAGTCATATTGTTCACTAATATTTTTGTCATTTCAACTAATTCAATGTCAATTTAGTCACTCGACTGAGATCTAAACTGAAATGAACGACTCTGAAAATCTTTCTGAATTACCATCAGAATGAATAAATATAATTTCATAAATATTCTGACAAATAAAAGCCATAATTACAGCTGTTACCTCGAATAATACTTATGTGCTGTTCCTTTTCTGCAACTGAACAACGTTATCAGATCGAAATATTTAAGTCCTTTCAGTCTTTTCGAGGGCTTCAGAGCTCTGCAAAATTCTTCATAAAATTATGCACGATGCAATATCATGATCATGAATTAATCAAGCCGTGTATGTTCGGTAATGATACTAATACAGCTATACGAAGCGAGTAACGTTCATTCATACGTTTGCAAACGGAAACGTCGAACGGAATCAAACGAAAGAGCGGCTCCCGGTGTTCGGGCGAGAGTTAAGTTTCGTGCGCTTGTTATTATGTGATTTGCGGTTGGATTAGCATGGTACGTTCTCAAGGAATAGCCTTACATACACGTTGGTGGTCTCAGTTTGCATTTCTGGTTGAATCACGATTCACTCGGTGGGACGCTACTCGTTTGCGGTGCCTTTCTTTTCGGCTTTTGCGGTCACGTAAATTCGGATTTCGTAAAGCAACGAAAGGAAGGAATCCATCCTCTCGCATAAAAGGGGATCCCGACGCTTTAATTACATTTTGCAAGAGGCACAGACCCGCCGGCTGCGGCGTTTCCGTGCGTATTCGATGGTTTAATGATCTTCGAGCCGCGTGAATGAACTCCGCGTGTAAATGAATCCGTTTCTGTTGAATCACAGTTATTCGTACGAATAACCATGAAACAATTGGATTTATCATTTTTACAGCGAAACGTTGTTTATCATGCTTTTCACATGTCGCTGGTTTAACCAGCATTCCGCCTTCATGTATACAAGTCAATGCATCCCCTCGGGTTAAATTGACATTGTCTCGCGAAAAATCAATTTCATTTACTAAATATTCTATTGAAAATAAAGAACGATGTTTTCTTGGCAGTGAATTAAACTATGTGTCGGATAAACAGCTTTTTTATATTTTATATATTTTTATTTATATTTTTTATATCATATATATATATACTACA